TTCTGAGGTCCTCGAACTTCGAAGCTCAAAAAAGACATCGATACTTACCTTAATAGTGTCTCCTTTCATATATACTACCATATAATTGTCTTATAACTCAATTTTATACGTTTTGTGAGGTTTTAATTTCTTTAGTTTTGATATTTTTTAGAAGGGTTTGTTGTGAGATTTTTTAGAAGGGTTTGTTGTGAGGAAGATTTTTTAGAAGGGTTTTTGGGGAGGGAGAAGAAGGAGGTGGAGAAGGAGGGAAATGGTTTTTTGAGTTTTTGATTATTTGGTATTTAAGAAAGAAAAATAGTATTTGTAATATTTTTTTAGTTTTAATTTCATTAAGGGTATTAAAGTAATTTACAATTAATTATTTATTTTTTATTTTTTTGGTATTCAAGTAAGCAAAAGTTGGGATTTGAAATAGTGATCCCCGTAAATTATATATAATCATATTTTATGTGTGCTTTTACATGTACTTCGTATGTAATAGTACTTACGTACGTACTAATTAATAATGGCCAAATATAATTATCTATATATACACTTTTGGGTACAGAAGTTTCAAAGAAGCTGGTTACAAGTTAGCCAGCCAGTTTGAATATATAATCTGAATCTTTGTTTGACGACTCGTAAAAAGCTATGGCTGCGCGCGCTATTTAAGCGATAGACAACAATTTGTTTTCAACCTTCCAAACTTTTTCTAATGCTTCTTTTTTTTGGTATCCATACGTGTATATATACGCTAATCATGTAATCCAATGTATGTATTCAATTCAAGATATATAAATAAAAATAAATAGTTAGTGAAACAGTGAGAAAATCAAAGATTGTCGCCAGTCACCACCTAATAAATAAATAAGATTTTAAACAAAATAAATAAATAAATATTAAATAATAGTAGAAATTAAATTTAGGGTAAATTCCACTTTACCCCCTTGTACTCTGCCTAAGAACCACTTTACCCCCTCCTACTCTTAATTTTATCGATTTACCCCCTTGTACTTGTACAATTTCCCAATACAACCCTCTTCGTCAACTTTTTTCGATTTTGACTCTGACGCCATTTGGTCAAGAGTCAAAATATTGACGTAAATATTGATTTTTTTCGATTTTGACTCTCGAGATTAGAAAAGAGAAAGTTTCACACATTCATATATTTTTTTCTTTGCACTGAGTGGAATCGATCAATTTTTGGGTCTTGATTTTTACTAAGTTGGGGGTTCAATTTGGGGATATCATGGAAGGGGAAGTGGTGGGAGAAGAAGAAATGACAATATTGACGGAGGAGAAACGACGCGTTATAGGCAGTGGCAATTTTGTAATTTACAAAGTTGACCAAATGCCGTTAGAGTCAAAATTGACAAAAATTGAAGGAAAGGGCTGTATTGGGAAATTGTACAAGTACAAGGGGGTAAATCGATAAAATTGAGAGTACAAGGGGGTAAAGTGACTCTCAGGCAGAGTACGAGGGGGTAAAGTAGAATTTACCCTTAAATTTATCATCTGACACTGATTTTTCTACATAATAAAAAGACTAGAAGTACATAATTATCTCATATTATATTTTTTTTCTAGCAAAGAAATTAAAACAGTAATTTCCACCATTTTGAGGACTAATAAATAATCCCCTAATAATGAACAAATGAGCTTCAGACAGTGGTTTTTAACTGTAAAGTCACTATCTCGCTCGCTGATGAAGCCGCCACCCCCTATTTTTCCACAACTCACAACTTTTCTCATGTATCTAGATCTACCCAAATTAACCTAATATATACATTTCATATGTAACTTTTTATTACCTTATTTTAATTTAATTACATCATATTTGTACGTATTATTAATTAGTACGTTTTTATTGACTGAAATCTGCCTATATATATCCCTTGGAAATTTTCTGTTCGTTTTTACACGAGTACATCTTCATGTTCACAGCCGTTGAAAGTTGCCCTAGCTAGTTTCAATTATTATTATTATTCCATTTCTGCATATACTGAGATAATTAATTTAGGATTATTTGTATTGATATATGGAGAATAATCATCCAATATTGCTTTCTCTGGATTCATCTACTAATTATCGAAACACGATGGTGAGTAGTACTAATTCATACTACAACAACGGATACTTGGATGGATTTACGAGCTTTAAGAGGGATACCCCTTATACTGCAGCTATGGAAAATGATGATGATCAGAAGAAATCATCACCATCAGTACTTGGGATTAATACCGATCAGAAGAAAAAGGGTACCGGTGGTGAAAAGAAAATTAGGAACCCCAGATTTGCTTTCAAAACAAGAAGCCAAGTCGATATACTTGACGATGGTTATCGATGGAGAAAGTACGGTCAAAAGGCAGTCAAGAACAACACATTCCCTAGGTACTTTTTTATATATCTATTTATATACAGCATGCTAGCTAGCTTGTGATCTTAATTAATGGAACTTTCATTTACATCATATATATATACTAGGCTAGCTACATGTTTTTCTAATCTGTTCTTAATTACATGAAATTAAAGATAACCTCATGTGTTTAGATCATGCAGCAAGGAAGATAATTTACAAACATAATCTCTATTCTTTCTGCTAATTTAGTTATTAAATAAAAATCACAGTTTAAGAAGACTGTACTTTACTTATAAGTTTTTCTTTTTTTTTTTTCTCTCTTTTTTTGGCCTTTAGTAGTGAAATGTTATTCCGACCACAACAAATTTTTCGTACTCACAAATCTTGTAATTAAACATCCTAAGCCCTAAATGTTGGTTCTGGTGATTAGTATAACAGTATATAACAATGCTGTCATAAAAGATCGATTATATTTGGCTATATATATTTATGTGTATATATATGGTTATGTCTAAGTTATACAAAGAGCTCCACTGATTATCTTGAAGCATTTTAATGGTGCAAATAAATTACATATAATTATTAATCAAGATCAATATATTTTAAAGTGTTAAAATTGACAGATTTAGTTACTGTATTTTGCAGAAGTTACTATCGATGTACTCATCAGGGATGCAATGTGAAGAAGCAAGTGCAGCGGCTATCTAGAGACGATGCCATTGTGGTCACAACCTACGAAGGAAAGCACACACATCCTGTGCAAAAAACCACCGACAACTTCGAACAAATTCTCAATCAGATGCAGATTTATCTTCCAACAAATTAAACTGATGATAATACAATGTATTTTATTTTATTATTTCATATATAGTCTGGATTAGATTTGTATGTGGCGTGTAATAACTGAATGAATTTCAGTTGTACAGATGCAAGCGCAGCTTAGGAACTCCATTAATTAATTTTCGCTATACTTGATAAAATGTACCAAAAGAAATTATGTCGTGTTAACTTCTGTTTTCGAACATTCAACCGTGGCTGTAAAACCTGAAAATACTTCAGTTAGGTTTTGTGCTGTCAAGTCACTTCTTTGTTGGATGCTAAGGATTAGATAATGATGGGCCCTGTTCACAGAAGTGCACACAGAAATTTGATTCACATTTATCCTCGTCTATACCGATGACGACGGGCTTCTTAGTTGTGCTCAGCGAAGTAGCAAAATGAAATAATAAATTACATGAACAGATATTTTTCCTGAAAGAAATCATTACCCAATGTAGAGATTTTACACATAAACCAACTTCTACAGGTTGGTTCACCGAGGTTTTGGGAAAGGGCAGTATTGCCAAAAATTTAACATAGTTGCTGCTATCTAGCAAAAACCAGCAGGGAAAAAGAAGAGAAATATTACAAAAGAGAATCCTACTTTTTTGGAAATATTAAGGAGGCAGGATGCAAGAACAGAAATCATCATGTTAGAAGACACCGAAAAATATTATTATTCAAGAACTTAAGTATAGAGTACAGTGCGGATAATCAAGACTCCATATGCGCAACTGCATAGAATTTCAATATACAGGAAAACTTCAACCATGTGCAGAATCTAGTGCTTGTCCTCCTTTGGAACATCTTTCCCTGGTATTTCCTTTGGTTTCGCCTTCTCCATTTCTCTGCAATAACATCAAACATTAGAATCATACACTACTTACTCAACTTACATTTAAAACTTAAAAAGGAAGAAGCTAGTAGTGTGTAGTGTTTGGAATTGGATCCATGTAAGATTTGTTTTCTGTGATTTCTTCGATCAAACAAGAATTTCATAGTATCCCTCATGCAGACTAACTTCTTTTCTTTATACGAGGTGGAATAGAATCAGTACTTAAATCAATTCATATTTGAATGGAAATTCTCCGAATACAATTCTAAAACTACAAATCCTCGATATCAAACAATATTTCATAAGAGTTAATTAGTTTGAAAGAGGTATTGGTTCTTCCACCATGAAGAATTGCTTAAAATGTAAACAAAAACGAATTCTCAACTTTCCAATTTATACAGTTTCGTCCTGTAAACCTAACATCAGTTTGTTTGTTCGGCAATTTCAATCAGCATTTCATTGAATCATTGTCAAACATTAAAATCCAGAAAATAAAATCCATACAAAGTTTCTCCCATGAAATTGATCTCGCTCACCTTGATTAAACAAATATAAATAGATAAGAAATGCATATTCTGATCAGCTGATTCTACCCTAGAGGTAGTTGATCAGTGGATATAGCTGAAACGATAGCAAATGAGAAAGAAAAGAGGGATAATTTGCGTACTTGGCAGCGGAAGAGGATTCTTCTTCGAGCCACTTACGGATGTGACGGACGTTACGGCGGAAGACGGTGGCCGATTGCTTCACATCGCTTCTCAATAGCAACACCACGGCGCTCACTCCAGCCACCGTCAGTATAAAATTCGTTAATGCCATTTTCCCCCAATCGATTAATCCTGATGATTACAAACAAATCAAAATTCGATTTGTAGGGTTTTGTTTTTGACGAAGGGAGGGTTGAATCTTGTAATGTAATTTCTCAATGAATTAAGTTCATGTTAGGCTAGGCCCACTTTTCTAATGGACTAACAAGAAAATAATCGCAGTGTTACGGGCTGATCAGAAGGCCCATATAAATTAATTTCATTTTTTTTAATTGAAAATGTAGAAAAAAAAAAAGATTGAATTAAAATGGAATCTGGAAAAGGGGAAGAAATCAAATCAGGGAGAATAAATTGGTGTATATCTTATCTTGGAACAGCAGTGAAGATGCAATATCCACAACTTTATTAATGTCTAGTACATGTCCGACTTATAAAAGCAAACTGCACCCACTTTCTTTCACTATTCTAGTTTCCTTAACTATTGCTTCCCACCTCCAATCAACTAGAATGGTCCCTTCCAATTAATTTATCATTAGTATATTATATTATAATTTTATTTAACCAGAATTTTTTTTAAAAACTAATAATTTTTTTTCTTGGAGGGGCAAGCATGCACACGTACCTTAGCTAATTACTACATGAGAAATATTCAGTTACGTACAACATTCTAGAGACGTATTTTTCGTAGCTTGTGCTAAATGGTAATTTCTCAGAGGCTAATAAATATTATCAAAAAATCTGAAAAGAAAAGTCATAGCTCCGAAAAAGCAGTTGGAGCATATATATATAGAATATACATTGGGTACAATACATACATATATGTTGCAAGTGAAGTGATTATACATGAAGAATTGGACATGAGTATAAAGTTTTGGAACAATTGGAAAACGATGCACTTCTTATCCTTTCACCTCATCATCATCATATATATATACCAATTCATTGCTTTTGTTTCAAGTAATTTTGATAGCTGACGATTGGCTAGATATTTTCGGAGGAAATTCCCTTTTCCAAATTAATTACCTAGTCAACAAATTGATATATTATTAATTGGTGAAACATTTGGATAATCACGCATCATTAGCTAGGAACTGTGTTATCCACTCAGTTATCTACTAAAACAGTCCTCCTCCCTTCTCGTGTTAATCATGCATGCACGATTAATAATATTAATATTTTAATGGATCAATAATAAAAATCAAAATATACGAACAATCACAAATTATTAATTAAAGAGTTGATTAGACCCAACATTAAACATGATCAATCCAAGACAAATGAAACGTATCAATCCATCTGACGTGGTCCATTTTCAAAGGTAGTGACCAATTAGAGGCATCTATTTCCCTTGCAAAAGTTAAAGAGATACCAATATCTAATAAAGCATTAATAATCGAAACAGATCATATTCGCTAAATAATTGGACCGTATCTTATAAGCATTATATTAACTTCTTTAAAATAAAAAAAACCAGTAATTACTAATTATTTATTTCTCAAAAGAATATTCTCTAATGTCGACCGATATTTAATTTGTTTAATTAACTATGCTTGCTTGGTTAAGCTTCTTAATTACTATAACTTAACCTAAAATATTACCTTATAAGCTTCTTCTAAGTTCGTTTAAAGCTAATACTTATCACTGTATTTGTTTTTTCTCGAATATATTAGATATATGTTGCTTTCTAATATATTTAGATAAAAAGGCAATTAACTTTTCACAACGTAACATATATACCGATAAGTACAACTTGCCCATGCATATATAAATACAAAGGTTTCTCAACCAATATATATATCATATATCCTATATAAACTAATAGCTAATAAAATATACATATAGATTATATCAATCCAATAATATTTATATAAATATCAATGGATTCAACAGGTGGCAACAAGCGCAGAAGTTTGATCTCCAGGTCAAAGCTAGTTATGTCTATCTACCGAGCGGCTAAAGGAAGCCCAGCCAATCATCAGCAGCCGATCAATAAGCCGGCCACCAAGCTGGGTCCCACTTCATCTTCTTCTTCGAAGATGGCTGGAGGAATCATTATAGTGAACCAGGATCAACAGACACCCAAAGTCGCGTTTGTAGTGAAAGAGAGGAATCGCGATTCTTACAGGAAGCTCGAGAATTTCTACGGCGGCGCGGCTGAGGATGAAGCCGTCGATGCCAAAGCTGCTAGATACATTTCTAACGTTCAGGAGAGGTTTCGTCTTGAACGTGTTAACTCCGACCGCAAGATCAATTACGATGAATTCATTCATCTCTAGCCGATATTTATTATATATACATGCAGCGGGATGGCATGCATTAATTAAGTTAATTTCGTATTAGTGGGTGACTAATTGTATGAAGATGCATGTTTTCAATATGCTTCTAGTATATGGCCGCTTCTACTGTTAATTAATTATATCAGTTATTAATTAAGCTACTTCTTACGTACCTAGCCAGCACATGCATTGTACGTTATAAATTAGGTTAATAATTAAAGATTTAGTATCAATATCTTATCTAGAGTACTTGTACTTGGCAAGTGGATTTTATTGTAAAAGATTCTGAGTTCAATAAGCTAGATACATGATCTTTATATATATCCCAATCTAAATTATTAAATAATTAAATATAATTTTGTTATAATGATCAGAACTAAAATTGATTAATTAATTAGTTAATTGCCAGTAATTAGGCATCCAGATCCCGGACAGGATTCAAAATTTTTGAGTTAATTTAATTACTTACACAGATTCCAATCTAGTAAATTTAAGAACGTCGTACGCAAAAAACTATATATCGCTATGTTAATTAGGACTGCCAAATTTTGTAGGCCTCCACTCTTGTACGTAGCAATAATAGCATAGGCAGTTTGGTGATCAAGAAAGAAATTGATACAAAGAACTCACGGAGGATTGCATCTCGTGGCGGCGTTGGGCTACGGCGGCCGTAATGACATAACAGAGGCGGCAAAGAAAATAGCGAGAAAAGTAGAAGATGTGGACGATGGAAGGTGTGTTTGAGCAGGAACTGATGACTAGCTAGTTTCATGGATTTACTGATAAGCTGAACAAGTTGTGAATTGAGGATTAGCAATTTCATGTTATGGCAGTTGGCTTACACGGAGCTCTACTTTTCCCAGATTTTGGACAGGCGCTTGCGTACGTGTTTTCAGCGGAGGAGGAACAGACGATTTGGCCGCCATAGAAACCATATATATTAATTCATGTTATATATATATATATGGAGTTTATAAAATCAGTGTGGTACGTAAATCTTAATTAATAATAAAAACGGATGATTTGCATACACTTGAAGTATCGTACGTAAAACTGAAAAAGGGAAAAGAGGAAAGTAAAAAGAAAAAAAAGAAAATGTATGTATTGCGAGCTAGCTAGCCGACGTAAATGTGAAAACCAATGGCAATAAGGAGGATGGTGATAAGGGCAGTGAAAATAATGGTATGGACTGTAGACATATAAAAAAATAAAAAAAATAAAAAAAATAATAATAATAAATGATGACACGTATATGCATATTGTGTCAAAATGTATTGATTTAATCTCAAGGAGTTAATTAACTCCTAATTAAATTTATATTTTTTATGTTTTATTTCTTTTAGTAACCAAAATCATATCTAGGTTATTATAGAAGGAAATAAATATATATTTTGTATTAATAACCATATCTTTATTGATGGAATTAATACTAATCAAATCATGAAGGGCCAATCATAATTTGCCACCTCGTCAAGTAAGTATGGAAAAGTCTTCACCCTACAAGTATAAATAGGGGTCATTTGTAGAAGCTTAAAGACAATTACGAGGAGTTCAAGAATTACAAGAGAGAATATACAAATGCTCTCTACGAATTCATAAAAGTTCTACGGTGTTCTAGGCGGCATTCAAGGCGTTCGTCGTAGAAATATACGAATCATAGCGCTTAATTCGGGATTACGGTATAAAACCCTCGAATTAACGTTATTGAAATCCGAAAGCACACATTCGGAGGATCAAGCACTAAAATCCACCGGAGCATACTAAGGGGTTTGTTACACGTTCTTCAATAAATATACTTTTAATTCGAGATTATACACAAAATTCTCGAATTAACGTTATTGAAGTACAAACCCCTGGCGGAAGAAATCGAAAGCATTAATTCCATCAAATCTTACAAAGGTGTTCGTTGCACGTTGTTTAAAGCTTTAACGTTTGATTCGAGGATAAGTTACGAAACCCCCGAATTAACGTTATTAATTTATTAATTAATATTTGGAGGAGATCAAAGGGCGATTACACCTCGGATATTAAAAAATTCCAAGATTACCACTCTCGAGGAGAAGAATCAGGGGACTTTAAATAGAGATTGTAACCCAATTTTTTTTAAATCAATAAAACTCTATTTTGTACCTTATTTCCGGTTTATTTATTTATAAGCTCGAAATTTGTGGTTTACAAATTGGCACGCCCGGTGGGACATTCTCTACCTCTCATCTCTTTCTCCTACGTCAAGTCGAAATTATTTTTGTTCGATGGCTCCAAAGAGGAATCAAACTCATTTGCTTCAAAAGATTACCGACATTGAAGTCAATGTTAATCAATCATCTGCCGGAGGCAAAATCTTTGGTTCTTCGCCCGATGGGTCTAATTCATCAAGTCCGACGGAGATTGATTCCAAGTCACATGCCTTTACCACTCTACCTGCTATGGTGGTCGATGCGACTACAGTGGATGAACAATTGGCTCAAATGTCCCAAACAGTAGCTAATCTTCAGAAAATAGTTGAGGACAAGGACTTGCAGATTGCTCAATTAATGGACAAGTTAGAGCAGACGAATGGTGGGGAATATAGCCCTCATAATGAGTCTTCTTCCCGTCGGATTGAAAAAGAAAAAGAGACGGAAGCCGTCCACGATCTCATGAAAAAAACCCCTCACTCTGCAACGTCTGTTGCCACACTCTCTGTCCAACAATTGCAAGAAATGATTGCTAACACTATTAAAGCACAATATGGCGGAGCATCTCAAAGTTCGCTCATGTATTCAAAGCCATACACCAAGAGAGTTGATGCATTGAGAATGCCGATGGGATATCAACCCCCAAAACTCCAACAGTTCGACGGGAA